TTCTCATCAAAGCTGCGTGCTTCTTCATAGATTCAGAGGTCAGAAGCTTACAGATACAAGCTTCTGTGCAACAATTATTTATGAAGTCCAAAACTACTGCCTCCTTTTGAGAAGTTACACAGACAGTAAACAACTTGTAATTCTCATCTAGCCAAGAAGAATCTCTCCTAATCGGTCACTTAAAACATTAGTCAGTATTTGCCCTTCTTATTCACTGGAAATACCTTGGGCATTGAACAGAAAAACAATTCAGTTTTTCTAAGATGTTGTTCTCTACAAATGACAGCATAATGCTCGATCTTTCCAAAGAATGATCTCTTACAATTTATCCAAGACAGGTTTCCCCCTGCCCCCATTCTAAGAGACACAAAGCAATGGAATTTACTGAGTTTTTAAGAGGAAGACTTAACAGTTCTTTCAGGAAGGCTTTTCTCATTAAGAATTATGCCAGTCAATGTAAAAGAATCCTAAAGTATATTGCAGAGTATTACATGTTATTTCAACTTAGTAACGATGTTACTGTAAAAGCATAGGAAGCAAAACAAACAAACAAAAAACTTGTTAGGAATTCCTTCAATACATTACCTGTTACAATGCAAGTTACAGACAGAGCTGTGGGTATTTCTGACGTCAGAGTCTGCAGAAGATGAAGGGATTTCTTGTACAGTATTCACCACGTCACAGTTTTCCATATCTTAGTCCCAAGTATGACGTTACCCTGAAAATACAAAGAATTAAACATCACCTTTTTCTTTTAAAAAGCCACATGACTTTGTTGCTTGATGAAACAGAATTTGAGGCAGTTGTTTCAGCCAAACCACCCCAGAAAGTGCTAGTATTCCACAACCAACCTCTCTTCCTTGTCCTGGGCTATGATTGCAAACAGGTATTATTTAGTCAGCCTTGTACTTGCTGGGGACTCCTACAAATCAGAGATTCCTAGCTGTGCATCACACAGCACACTGGGCTGTGAAGGCATCTGAATCCAAAACATTCCAGGTAGAATAGTGTTGTTGGGGTTTCTCTGTTCAGTTTTTTCAAATCTGACGCTCCACAGTTTTTGAGACTTCCATGAAAGGGCCTGTTACCAGTGTATTTAAATCTGCTCAATGGGGATCTGCACCTTCACTAGAAAAAACACACCCACCAAAAAATAAAATCGAAGACCCACCGCCTTAGACTGCAGTTCACCAACTGTGTCATTTGTGTGTGTAATATTTGGCTTACTTTTTTCACAGAACGCCTATCTTCCTATTACTGTATGATGTTAATTCAAAAAGCTTTGAAACTGTTTTGAGCTACATTTCTGACCAATTAACAAAAAAAAAAAAAGCAGCAGCAGTCAAACAGGAATCCCACAGCAGTTAAAAACATCAGGTGGTTAACTGAAAGCATCATAAATAAATAAATACTAAATTCTTGTGGGATGGTCTTACAGCACTCAAAGAGCAGTTTATAAGAATGGCTGTAGAGAGACTAACATATTCTTTCAGTTTCCATACCTTCCATACGAAGAAAACACTTGAAATACACTGATTAATCAGTTCTTCTATAGTGCTTATTTCAGCACGTTCTACATCCTGGTGAATTCATTCTATGTTCTAGCACTGAAGAAAACCCTTACAATCATTTCTTAGATGGAGAACAAAAAGAGACATTAAGAAATATCATCTTAGTAGTCCATGGTAATACTGAGAATAAATCCCTGCTGTCTTAAAGAAGCACAAGACCTTCAAAGCAAAAATTTTTACAGGGCTTACAAGGACATGCTGCTGGCTTCCACAAATTTAAGTTTTCATTATTTGTAAGTACATAGTAATATATCTCTAACAGATAGTTTAGGAAGTATAAAAAAATATTTCTGCCAGGATAGTGATGGACAACTGTCCATTTTTTCCCTGTTTTGCTGCAGCCTGCTTGGCTTTACCAGAAACGTTTTCCAGGTACTCACTCAAGCTATCTCCTTTGGGTAGGGCTGAAAATGCAAGAATTGGAAGGAAGTTATCACAGATACACACATCCCTTTGGCAGACCTTCTTGGGATAAATGAAAGAAGAAAAAAAAAAAAGCCTTTCTTCTTTTTCTAGTGGTCAGAAGTCTGGAAGACTTGAAGGTTATCTGTCACCTGACAGATGAAGCAAAAGCTGCAAGTGTCTCTGGAGCAGCTGGATGACAACAGCGGGGGCTACATCTCACCCCCGTCTCCCCAAGATGAAATCATGGGTGGCCTATCTCAGCAGCACAGCAGATGGGTGGGACTTCCCTGTGACACAGGCTGGTTTCATAACCTCATTAGAAGTCTGCTCGCAGTTAAAAAAAAATATTAAGTGAGCTATAACTGGGCTGAGGAGCAGCTAAACTGTCATCTATTGTTTCCATTGCACAAAACAGTCCTTATACGGCCAAGTCTCTCCACAAAGGAGTAGGATTTAAAAACAAGGCGGAAGGTATTTTGACCCAAACGCAATCGGTGCTGGTTTAGATGCAAACAGCTGGGCCCCCCCAACCCGGAGACCCTGTGGTTCTGCATCTCTCCCTGAGCGGGACCTGACGGCTCTCGACTCCTCGCAGATCGCTAAGGGGTGACAGGACGCCTTGTCCCCCCGCCGCTGCCAGGCCCCCACCTCCCCGGCTTCCGAAGGACCTCCTGAGGGGCGCTGAGAACGGGCAGCGAGCCTCTGGGCCCTGAAGGCGCGGTGGCCTCAGGGCACGCACTCACCCCAAAAGCCAAGGCCCCTCACGGGCCCCCCTCCCCTCACAGGGGACCCCCTCTCGCTCAGGGCCGCCTCCCCTCAGCCCGTGCCCCCCTCCCCCGGC